GGAGTGGGGCTGAGGTGAGGATAGGGGAATGGGGTTGAGAAATGGGATAGGGGAGTGGAATAAGAGAGTGGGACTAAGGTGAGGGAAAGAGGATTAGAACTGGTGAATGGGATTGGGGAATGGGACTACTGTAGGGGTGAGGTGAGGTCGTGTTTTTAGAATTACTGTAGCAAAGAGCTGTGGGAGGAGCTGAAAGGACCCCTGCTGTTGCGATTCTAAAGATCGGATTGTCTGACAACATCCAGGACATGCCATTAAACTGAAACACTCCGACTGGCCCCGCTTAATTCATTGTGTGACATTGTCTTGTGTTGGAATTGTCAAAATGAGCATTTCATACGAACACCTTCAGTATTTACAGCACTCAACAAAACCCCTCATTTAAACACTCTGTCAGTTTAAAAACAAGTTGTAATTGCAGTGCCTGTACCTTTAACGTCAGCTAAATGTCAAAGATGCTGGGCAGAGCTGTGTGTAAAACAGAACATCATTCCAACCAACAAGATATTTGTTAAAATATGGGTCAAAGGCTTGGGTTTTAGGAAGTCATAAGGTGAGAGAGGTGAAGGGACTCAGAGGGAGAATTCTACAGAGCAGAATTCAGACACTGAAGGAGGGCAGGATGCTCAGAAGCAGAGAATTAGAAAGTGCTGTTGATAGCTGCAGCAGAGAGGGAGCAGAGGGATTTAAACACAGGGATAAGTGTTTTACTTTTGAGACTTTAGGAGGCTAGGAGCCAATGTAGGTGGTGAGAGGAGAGAGATTTTAAATAAGACATGAGGGGCAAATGTTTCACACAGATGGTGGTTCACATGTGGAATCAACTTCCTGTGGAAGTGGTGGATTAGATTTTTTTTTAAAAATTAGATTTATTTATCACGTACTAAGTATAGCAATACATAAGTACAGAGAAAAGTGCACAAATTCGCCATTCACTGGCGCCAACTTGGTTACAAAAACCAGAATTAAAAGATTTAACAGAGCCAAAGATGAAAACAAAGGCTGATATAGTCAGGAAGAGCTCAGTTTGCTGAAATCCAGGATTGAACCAAGGACTTTTTAAATCTTCAGTCTAACGCTCTCCCAACTATTTCAGCTGGGTACAAATGCAACATTTAAAAGGCATTTATATAAGGATATGAATAGGAAAGATTTGGCTAATTATGGGCCAGGAGCAGGCAGGTGGGACTAGTCTAGTTTGGGATTATGTTCGCCATGGATTTGTTGGAATGAAGGATCTGTTTCTGTGCTTTATGGCTCTATGACTAAGATGAGAAATGGTACAAGTAAGAAGTTAATGTGGGAGTGGTGTGCAGGTCTCCTATGAGTAATACATAGAGAATGGAGTTTAAAGGAAGAAATAGTAGGAACTTGTTGCTTGTTAGGGAGGCAATGGCTTATTGGTATTATTGCTAGACTATTAATCCAGAGGCCCAGGTAATGTTCTGGGGACCTGGGTTTGAATCCCACTCTGGCAGATGGTGGAAATTGAATTCAATAAAAATCTGAAATTTAGAGTCATAGAGGTGTACAGCATGGAAACAGACCCTTCGGTCCAACTCATCCATGCCAACCAGATATCCGAAATGAATCTTGTCCCATTTGGCCCATATCCCTCTAAACCCTTCCTATTCATGTACCCATCCAGATGCCTTTTAAATGTTGTAATTGTACCAGCCTCCACCACTTCCTCTGGCAACTCGTGCCATACACACAACACCCTCTGTGTGAAAACGTAGCCCCTTACATCCATCTTAAAACTTTCCCCTCTCACCTTAAACCTGTGCCCTCTAGTTTTGGGCCCACCCCAGGGGAGTGATCTTGGCTATTCACCCTATCCATGCCCCTCATGATTTTATAAGCCTCTATAAAGTTACCTCTCACCCTCAAAGATCCAGGGAAAATAGCCCCAGCCTATTCAGCCTCTCCCTATAGCACAAATCCTCCAACCCTGGCAACATCCTAATGATGACCATGAATCAATTGTCAATTGTCAGAAAAACCCATCAAGTTCACTAATGTCCTTTAGGGAAGGAAACTGCTATCCTTACTTGTTCTGGTGTACATGTGACTCCAGACCCACAGCAATGTGGTTGACTCTAACAGCCCTCTGGGCAATTAGGGATGGGCAATAAATGCTGGCTGAATGAATTTTTAAAAAAGGGCATGTCAATAATCATGGGAGATTTTAATTTATGTATAGGCTGGAAAATCCAATGTCAAAGGTAGTGATGAGGGGTTTATTGAATGATCTTATGATATTTCCTTGGAGTAGTGTATTCTCGAACTGACCAGGGAGCAGGCTACACTAGACCTGCTACCGTACAACATTAATTAATAATCCCATAGTGAAGGTACCTTCAGGTAGTGGTAACCGTAATGTGATGTTATTCAGTTTGAGGGAGAGAAAAATGAGTCTAAGACCAGTGTTTCAAACTTAAACAAAGAGCTCGTGAAAGCAGAGCTGGTTAAAATGAATTAGAAAATTAGATTAAAGAATAGCTTGGCAGAGATGCAATGGCAAACATTTAAGAGGATATTTCAGAATACACAAAATACTCGCATTCTAATAGGAAAGAGAAATTTCAAAAAGAGGGCCTGTTATTTGAGGTCAACCAACAAGGTTAAAGATGGTATCAAACAGAGAGAAAGATACAATGATGCAAAGATGGGGGACAGGTCAGAAGATTGGACAGAATGCAAGAAAACAGAAAGAATGGCTGAAAAATTAGAGTATGAGAGAAAGCCAGCCAGAAAAATAAAACAGATGGGGGTAAGAATTTCTATAGATATTTAAAAGAGAATTAACAAAGTGAGCATTGATCTTACAAAGTCGACATGATTCCGTGAAAAAGAAATTATATTTAACCAACCTGTTGGAGCTCTTTGAGGAAATAAAATGTGCCTTGGATAAGGGGAAACCGGTGGATAACTGTCCTTAGATTTTCAGAAGGTGTTTGATAAGGTGACACGTGGAAGTTTATTATGGAAAATAAGAGTTTATGGATGGCATGGATACAAGATTGGCTAACAGAAAACAGTGTCATCATAAATAGATTTTCTGATCCTGAGTGATGCACCCCAGGGATCAGAGGCTGTGCCCTCAACTGGTAACAACCTGTATCAGAAACTTGGATGAAGACACCAATGGTATGGCACTGTAGCTAAATTTGTTAATGACGCAAGATCGGTAGGGAACTAGATTGTGAAGAAGACACAAGGAGATCCCAAAGGATTCTAGAGAGATTAAGAGAGTGGGCTAAGATCTGGCAAATGGAGCACAATGCTGAAAAATGTGAAACTGTCCACTTGGCAGAAAGAATAAAATAGAAGCATGTTATCTAAATGGAGAGAGTTAGCACAGCTCTGAAATGCAAAGGGATCTCGGTGTCCTAGTACATGAACCACAGAAGGTAAGTCTGCAGGGACAGCAAGTAATCAGGAAAGTCAGTAGAATGTAGATATTTATTGCAGGGAAATTGAATACAAAAGTAGGGAGTTTATGCTTTAACTATACATGAGTTGGGTAAGATGATTGCCTGGGTGCTGTATATAGTGTTGGTTTCCTTGTTTAAGGAAGAATGCAAATGCATTGGAAGCAGTTCAGTGAAGGTTTACCAGACAAGGGTCTAGACCCGAAATGTCAGCTTTCCTGCTCCTCTGATGCTGCTTGGCCTGCTGTGTTCATCCAGCTCTACACCTTGTTGTCTCTGCTACCTATAATAGGCAGGTTGTCTTATGAGGAAAGATTGAATAGGTCAGGCTTATATCTGCTGGAGTTTAGAAGAGTGAAAGGTGGTTTCACTAAAACATCTAAAATCCTGAGGAGCATTCACAGGGTGAATGCGAAGGGAATTTTTCCCTTTTGTGGGAGAATCTAGAACTGGGGGGGTTACTGCTTAAAAATATATTTTTGCTATTCAAGACAAGGAAAAACCTTTTTCTTAAGATTTTGGAATCGTCCTTGAAAAATCTTTGCTATTTTTAAGACAGAAGTAGGTTCTTGATAAGCAAAGGGGAGAAAGATTATCGGAGTATTCAGAAAAACATTGAAGCAATCAGGTCAGCCTCACAAGATTGAAGGACCACCTCCTGCCTCTAATCTGAGTATTCATACGAGGTGTAAAGAGGATTTAAGATAAGTGCAGCAGAGTTTTCAATCAGGAGAGGTCTGTGTGGGTTAGCAGGTTTCAACAACTGATAGTTTGATGCACGGACGGAGATGGGTCTGTCATGGAAGTGGACCTAACCTTTGCAATGGATTGGAGTAGGAGTGGAGCTTCAGATTGACAGGATGTCTTAGCCTGGCTCAGCCTGACACAGTGGCCCGAGGGGAAATGAAGAAATGACCCCATGTCACATTGGCGGCGTGCCCACCCCAGAGTACAAATCAATTCCAAAACAGACACGGGCACTCAGCCTGGGTGAAAATTACACACTCTATGTCTTAGCTCACCATTTTCGGATTGCCACCAGGTCTTCTCCTCCATCTGATCAGTCAGATAGATCACATTCCTTATCTGGTGACTATTCCTGTTTCTCAAAGAATCGTATGGCATTGCGGAATCACACTGGAAACATTTCTCCACTTCCTGCAATGGACAGAGAAAATTCACACCTTTATTGGAATGATAGTGTTTCACTCACAATACTAAGTCCAGTGTCAGTCCCTTCACATGCTTTACAAAGGTTCAGGGCAGGTCTGCAGTGTATGACTCAGTTGGGAAGTCTGTACCAATAATCGAGCCCTACCGTTCCACAAACCGTCACAAATAGGTAACTGCCCAATGAAACCACCAAAATGACCAACTTAATAAAATAAACAAAAACAAAGTACTGTGGATGCTGGAGGCAGATCTCCTTTGTCATTATCAGTCGGGGATGCTGGCTGTTCTCCTTTCCTAACTCCTCGAGGTTAGCAAAATTCAGCTTAAAGTCATGAGACAAGGCCATTCAGCCCACTGAGTCTATGCAGGCTCTCTGTATAGGAATCTTGTCAGTGCATTTCCTCTACTTGTCCCTGTAACCTTGCTCCTCAAAACTTCCATTCAATTTCCTTTTGTAATTGTCCCCCCTCTCTGCTCTATGGGTAAGGGCATTGGATAGAAATGGTGTGCAGGATAGAAATGGGGAAAAGGCAGGAAATTGGCATTGGGGGTAGGAGCAGTACCATCTACACTGTAACAATCCTGTGATTCAATGTGTATGATGTTTTGTTCGAGAGAGGGTCTCTGGGTATTCACACCATCAAAGAATAAACTCAGAGCTTGATGATGAATGTACTATTGGGAGGTGTAGGAGCCCCCAGCCAGAGGTAGCAGGGACTCCCACCCAGAGAGAGGGAAAGCGGGGAGAATGAACACTATTGTACTCCTCATGAGACAAGCAGAGAAACCCAGTCAGGAAAGTAAAAGTGGTAACAGGCTCTGACTGGGGAGGGGATGGGGATGTCAATAATCACTGTCAGTGGAAATGTCTTGTGGGATGTGGAACAGCTGGACAGTCAGTCCCTAAGTGAAATCCTGATCATTTACTGAAATACAGACAGAGGGGAAACTGAAGCAAGAGAAGGCAAATAGTGAGCAATTGTTAGGAACCTGCTGTTGTGCTGGGAGGAGGTCAGGAATGCTGATCCCCTCAAGCTGTGAGGCTGTGTGAATAGCTGTGAAAGGTATGGCAGCTCTTGGAATTTCAGATGATGAAGGGTGACAGGCTGATAGAGCGAGTGTGAGACTGAGTATGGAGACTCTGCTGTCTTCAATCCTGCTTCGCCACAGCTTTGGGAGCTCTGGCCCTCTTTATCAGAAGCTGCACGTTCGCCAAGAAGATTACTGAAAACAGTGTTCCGTCTGGGCCATCACATGGTTGTTCCAACAATATATCTATGTTCGACAAACTAGGTCCTCAAGAGATCAAGTTTCACATGAAACAATTAAAATTAACATTAAATAATTAAAACAAACATTTGTAAAATATATAAAACATAGAACTGAGAACGACAGAAATTGCTGAAAAAATTCAACAGTTCTGGCAGCACCTGTGCAGAGAAAGCAACGTTTACATTTCAGCTCCAGTCACCTTTTACAGAGGAAATGGTATCTCTGCTTTCTCTCCACAGGTGCTGCCAGAACTGTTGAATTTTTTCAGCAATTTCTGTCATTCTCAGTTCTATGTTTTATATATTTTACAATGTTGGTTTTAATTATTTAATGTTAATTTTAATTGTTTCATGTGAAACTTGATCTCTTGAGGACCTAGTTTGTCGAACATAGATATATTGTTGGAACAACCATGTGATGGCCCAGATGGAACACTGTTTTCAGTAATCTTATTGGCGAACGTGCAGCTTCTGATAAAGAGGGCCAGAGCTCCCAAAGATTTTCTCTAGCACTTCCTGTTTTTGTAATATACATGTATTCACTCATGCGTTGTGGGCATTGATGACTTGGCCAGAATTTATTGCCAAGCTCTGTTTAAATTGTGTCGCTAATGTTTATGCACTAAAGTTATCAACCTGGATGTTTTAAAGGACAAAACAGCACCTTGGATACAGATAAGTTAAGGACTCCTATTGAAGTCATTGAGTATGATGAGAAAGGATAAACACAGGAAGGATGTTCCCAATAACTGGGGACTCCAGAACCAGGGGGCCACAGTCTAAGGATACAGGACAGGCCATTTAGGACTAAGATCAAGAGAAATGTCTTCACCCAGAGAGTGGGGAGCCTATGGAATTCTCTGCCACAGAAAGCAGTTGAGGCAAAAACTTTGAATGTTTTCAAGTAGGACTTAGAGGTTGCTCTTAGGGCTAAAGGGATCAAAGGGAATGGGGTGAAAGTGGGAAACAGGGGACTGTGTTGGATGATCAGCTGTGATCATATTGAATGGCAGAGCAGGCTCGAAGGCCCGAATGGCCTACTCCTAGTTCTAGTTTCTATATTTCTGTTATCCTGGACTTGCTTCACTGAAGGAGATCAGAAAAGAATGTTTCTGTTTTTTCCTGTGAATTTGGAGAATGACTTTGTTGTGTGCCCCTCTGTGAGAACATAGGGCTACTGGTGGCTGTGTGCTGTGGGGAGGTGTCTGGCCAGTGATAGTATACTCTGGCCTCTCCTATAGTAATGTCCTTCACCCAGAATCACACTTGTTACAGCACAGAAGGAGGTCATTTGGCCTGCTATGCCTTAACCTCAAAAGCAACATTTCAGGAAAACAAATCGAGCATTTCTTTCTAAGAAGATGTTTCAGGGACAGAATTTTCTGGTCTCCCACTGAGAATTGTGCAGATATGTGTGGCGTACAGAAAGAAAGCACCACTGTGTCAGTGTAAGATGTGTTAATTACATTGGTGTGAAATTAACAAGAATCAAACTGTAGATCACTGAATGATAAAGTTATGCAGGTGCATGTCTATCTGAAGCAAGGGTTATTTCACTCATGGACATGTATGTGGGGAACCGCAGAGATGGGCGAGGTCCTCAATGAATATTTCTCCTCTGTGTTTACCATGGAGAAAGACATGAAGACTTGGGAACTTGGAGAAGTTAGGGACAGTCCATATCACAGTAGAGGAGGTGTTGGAGCTATTAGAATATATGAAGGTGGATAAATCTCCTGGTCCTGACCAGATATATCCAAGAACCCTGCAAGAGGTTAGAGAAGAAATTGCGGGGGCCCTGGCTGATATATTTGCATCATCGTTAGCCACGGGTGAGGTTCCAGGAGAGTGAATGTGCTGCCCTTATTCGAGAAGGGCTGTAAAGAAAAACCTGGGAACTATAGACCAGTAAGCTTAACATCTGTGGTAGGTAAGCTACTTGAGAAGATTCTGAGGGATAAGATATACATGGATTTGGAAAGATTTTGATTAGGAGTAGTCAGCATGGCTTCGTGTGTGGGAGATCATGCCTCTCAAATTTGTTAGTGTTCTTTGATGTAGTTCAATAGGAAAGATGTTATTAAACTGGAAAGAATACAGAGGAGATTTCCAAGGATGTTGCCAGGACTCAAGGGACTGAGTTACAGGGGGAGGTTGGACAAGCTAAGATTTTTTTTCTTTAGAGCATAGGAGTCTAAGATGGGTTTCATAGAAGTGTATAAGTTCATGAGAAGCATGGATAGGGTGAATGCACTCAGTCTTTTTCCCAGGGCTGGGGAATCAAGGACTAGACGGCATCAGAAAAAGTACATGGGAACCTGAGGGACAACTTTTTAATACAGAGTATGGCACGCATATGGAATGAGCAGCCAGTGAAAGTGATTGAGACGGATACATTAACAACATTTAAAAGGCACTTGGACAAATACATGGATAGGAAAGGTTTAGAAGGATATGGGCCAAATGCAGGGAAATGGGGTTAGCGTGGATGGTCAGCATGGACAAGATTGGGCCGAAGGGCCTGTCTCCATGCTGTAGAACTCTATGACTCTTTGATTCTACGACTGTATGAAAGAGACAAATTACTAGTTTCAGGGCTTTGATCTGCTAAAGGAGACAAGTTTGACAAGCAAGACAGGGGCATGTTAGAACATTACTCCATCCTTCTCAGCTACCATTTTCCAAGCATTTACTCAGGCTAATCTCGGGATTACATGCTGAGGGGACCCAATCTAAATAGAAAATTTTTGTCCCCAGGCACCCCATATTGTTTGGGGGCAGTACTCTTGGCTTGGGGGATCAGGGAGAAAGGCTTAGCTGGGAGTGCAGGGACACAATGCATTGAGTATAAAAGCAAAGAAGTTATGATGAACCTTTAAATAATGCAGCAGTCTTGTGCCCAGTTCTGGGCATGGTATTTTAGGAAGGATCTGAGAGCTTTGAGGCTTCTGTCATTGACAAAAATGCAGCAATTCATTACAGACAAGGGAATAGACAAACATTTCAAAAAACCTACTGCAATCAGGCAGTGTTAACGTGGTTTAGAAAAAGGGAAATCATTCCTAACAAATTTATCACAGTTCATTCGGAGATAACAAGCTCAAGAACTCAAGAAATTGGAGAAGAGTAGACTATTCAGCCCAACATGCCTGCTCTACCTTCTATATGAAGGATGTTTCTTAAGAGTCATAGAGCTGTACAACATGGGAACAGACCCTTCAGTCCAACTTCATGATGACCAGATATCCAAAATTAATCTAGTCCCACTTGCCAGCATTTCGGGTCTAGGCCCGAAACGTCAGCTTTCCTGCTCCTCTGATGCTGCTCGGCCTGCTGTGTTCATCCAGCTCTACGCCTTGTTATCTCAGATTCTCCAGCATCTGCAGTTCCTACTATCTCTATCCTAAATTATTCTAGTCCCATTTGCCAGCATTTGGCCCATATTCCTCTAAACCCTTAGATTCAGCCTCTCCCTGTAGCTCAAACCTTCCCCAACCCTGGCAATGTCCTTGTAAATCTTTTCTGAACCCTTTCAAGTTTAGCAACATTTTTCCTGTAGCAGGGACACCAGAATTGTGGGATGTCTCAAACTAGGGGACACAGTTTCAAAATAAAGGGTTTCTAATTTAAAATAGATCAAGGAAGGAATTGCTTTTCTCAGAGAGTTGGTAGTATTTAGAATTTTTACCTACAGAGCGCAATGAAATTTTGGAT